ATAATTTTCAACTCATAAATTTTTTTTCTTGTATATTTAAAAAGAAAAAGGTTTCTTATAACTTTCATTTGACTCGTTTAACAACTTTCCCTATATTGAGGCCATTTAACAACTTTTCATATATTAATTTTTTATCAAATACAATAAAATTAATAACTCATCAAATTTTTAACAAAACTTTATTATAAAATTTAGCAATTATAGAGTACGTTCTAATTTTATGAATAGTACTTTCTTAATAATTTTTTTTGTAAAACTTTTCTAATAAAGTGCCCTCTAACTAAACAGGTAGTAAATATTGAACAATGCTGTGTAAAACAAGAAGTTGTGGGCTATGAAAGTCCCGACCATCGGTTGGGATTCATCGTCTCGTTTCCGTGTTGCTTCATCTGCTGGTGAGGTAGGCATTGAAAAGGCTGAATCGTATTAATTATATGAATCTCTATAGTTGAAGAATATAAATGTGTGCAAGAAGGATAATGAAGTAAGAGCCAGTGAAACATTATATTAATTTGTCTTCCTACGCTTATCTAAAGCAGATCACGAAAAGCTGTATCTTCAAAAAAAAAAAAAAAAGTGCATATATTTAGAAATTTTGTATAGTTCTAAAAGATTGTCATTAGGTTATCAAACCCATTCCTTTTCTATAGTTGTATTTTCCAAAAACAAAACTCAGTTTCAATTGGATGCGCCCATGTACATATATGCATGGTAGCGAGCTTAATCAAGATAAAAACTAAGTTAATTAAGGTGATTATATGTCTTCAATTAATACACTAAACGAGATCCAAATCCTTCTAATTGAATTCAAATTCAAATTTGAATTTATGATTCAAAAGGTAAATTGACATTAATCAACGTAGTCTAGATAAAAATGTTAAGATCCTTTCCTAATAATTTTTACTTATAAAAGCGATCCATGTCATTTTTTTTAATACAATTATAGATATTTAAATGTAGAACAAAAATCATTTACAAAAAAAAGAAAGAAAGAAAGAGAGATCATCTTAAGTTAATTATTTTCGTTGATGATTTAAAGCTGGCATCATTGATAACCTATTGGAATTGGCTTAAATAGTTAAGGACTCAATTGAACCATGTTGAAAATATGAGTTTGAATTTATCAAAAGTAATTTGACTGTAAACAATTTTATATAATGAGTCACACCTACTACTCTTAAAAATAGAGTTTTACTTTATATTTGTGAACAAAAAATTTATAAATATTTATGTAATTAGTCAGGCTAAAAACCTAAATATTTATGTTAATCAAAAAGGACATATGTGGATGATCATATCTAAGGTGTTGCGAGACCCTTGGAGATCAAAAAAACAGAAGGCAAAGGAAAAAAAAAAAAAAAAAAAAAAAAAAAAAAAAAAGGGGAAGAAAATTAAAAAAAAAAAAAAAAAAAAAACAATCCCGGAGAAAAAGTGTTGCCACCAAAACCGACATTATTCTTTGGAACTGACAACCATTTATGCTCGTTCTTCATGTTTGGTGTTTGAACCCTGCATGTTCCCTCCGCTAACTTACGAAGACTAAAAGACAGAGATATTGGGACAGCTAACATTCCTTCCTCTAGCTTCTTAATTAAAACCAAAAGACAAAGAGATATTGGGATAGATAAAGCAAAAGGAATTTCCTTTTGGAAGATTGATAAAAGAAAGGGGAACAATAAAGATAAAGGGTAATGGAAAGGGAGGGGTTGGTGAAGAATATGGGTTTTTGGAGTGGGGATAATTGGGTATGGGATTGTAGATGGTGATGTAGTTATGTGGGGAGGGCTGGTAGTGAGAAAGAACGACTTAGGGAAATGATTAATGGGGTAAAGGAGAGGGTTGGTGGAGTTGATTCTTGGAGATGGGTTCATAGTAGTGATGGTTTATATTCTATGAAAGCTACTTATGATTTTTTAATACCTACAGATTGTGTTCTAGATAAGAAGTGGTCTAGGATTATTTGGTGTAAGTATGTTCTCTCTAAATTTAGTGTATTTGGGTAGAGATTATTTTTGAATAAGTTGGCAACAAAGGAGAATTTATGTAAGAGAGGGGCTTTGCTGGAAGAGGATGTTGGTTGTGGGTTATGTAATGAGGGAGTAGAGCAACTTCATCATATCTTTTATGAGTGTAAGGGGACATGGTTAGTGTGGATGCAGGTTTTGAGATGGTGGGATTGGTAGGCTGTCTTGCCAAATGATATTTTTGGGTTGGTAGAATCTGTGGTGCATGGCATAGGTGGGGGACGTGTGAAGGATTTAGGGGCTTTCATCTTTTTAGTTGTTGCCTAGTTTCTTTGGTACTAGAGGAATATAAAGGTGTTTGGGACAAGTTTGATGTTTGAGGTGCTGTGGTTGGAGTCAATATAAACTAAATCTTTTTTTTATGGCTAAAAAATAAAGAGACAAGTTGTTTGTTCACTTATCAAGATTGGATATTAAGATCCATGCAATGTAGAGATACCATTGTTTAACATTGCAAAAATTTGAAAAGCTACAAGTTGTTGACAAGGAACATGAGTTGATTTTATTTTATTTTTTTCTCTTGAGTTTCATTCAATAATATTGTTTTTGTTTATGTGCTTGTACAATGACAGGGTTTGGACATTGTTATTACAGTTGTATTTTGATTTGGAGTATTCCTTATACTCCTGCAATAATAGATTTTATAGTTGGTTTGGTTGATAAAAAAAAAAAAAAGGGTTTCTTTTTCGCCTTCATTGGCTCCTCATGGATTGACCACTGCCATCTATAAGGATAGCTTTTGCGCTCATGACTCTTGGCCATACTGTTGGTTTATTTTGTTGAATTTTCATGAAGAATTGAAGTTTGGAGTAACGGTGCCAACACCTTGAATGAAGGTGGTTACACTCATATATGTTGGAGCAAGAGTGTTGAAACCGATTGTCATGGTGAAAAAGATATACTACCCTAAATCTTTTTGTAAGGGCAAAAAATGCTTAAGGTTAGGTTTCCTTTAATTAATATGCCAAGCGATACATGTGTTGGCTTGTAATCCCTTAAGTTCTTATTTTTTTTCTTTTATTATTGGTTAGTGTACATTTTGATTCAACATATTATCCAACATGATTAATTAAAAAATGATTATTTTTTAATTTAAAATTAAAAATAAACAAACTTAAAAATATAATTATGCATATAGCATGTATAAACTAACTAAATTAACTATACTTATATTATATTTTAATAACTAAATTAAATATATGTCGAAAGATGTGTTGAA